TATTCATAAAACTATATGAATTTAACTGTATCTCTCTTACAATGTTTTTGACATTAGAGTAATGCTAATCTAATCGAGTGGGTTAGGAGATTCTCTGCTTAATTGATTATCTGGAAAGCTTGTGTAGAAAATTGCATCATTTCTTCCATAAAGTTTAGAAGAATTTATTTACCAGTGGAGACATTTGAGATTGGAAGCCTTTTTTTTTTTTTTTTTGGGGGAAAATTTTAACTGTAAATTTCATTCTTTTATCTGAAGCTATTGCATTACACATTTCTTTTTGGCTGAGGTTATTAGTTTATAGTATTCATATAGTATATCTAGTTCATTTGATTGATCTATATGCATACAACTATTCATAAAATTCTATTTTTGTAGTATCTATAGATACATAGTGGTATCACTTCATTCTGATATTGGTAAGTTATATTTCTTGTCCATAGTCTCAAAGAACCAACATTTGGTCATCAGTTTGCTTTGCATTTTTTTGTATTTCATTGCCAAGATCTTTATTTCCTTTCTTCTTTAAAGATTTATTTTTATATGTAAAACTGTTTTGCCTGTGTATCTATATGTGCGCTATATGCATATAGTGCTCACAGAGGTCAGAAGAGGTCAGATCCCCTAGAACTAGAGTTGCAGACAATTGTTAGCCACCATGTGGGTGCTGAGAAATGAACCTGGGTCCTCTGCAAAAGCAGCCGGTGCTCTTAACCACTGAGCCATCTCGCCAGCCCTATTCCCCTTATTCTTAGGCGGTCTCACTTCTTCTTGCTTTACTTTTATTAAGGTCAGGGAGGCAGAGGTAATTAATTTGAGGCCTTTTTTACTTTTTACAACAGGTCCGTGGTCCTACAAACTTACTGTTTTACTGTATCTGCATCCAACAGTATCATTAGCTCACGATACCATACATGTCTCTTTTGCATCCTATGGGTTCCTTACAAATGAATGTGTCTCCAAATACTTTAGAACATATGTTCAAGTCTGTTTTCTCTGTGAGCTTCACTTTCGATAGTTTCTACTTCTGTTTGTTTAAATTCACTAATTTTTTGCCTGTCATTTCCAATTTGCCATTTTCCCCATCTAGTATATTTCTATACATCAAAAAATTTCGATTTCCACTGTTAGAAGTTAATTTGGGTATTCGTCATAGATTTCATGTTTATATTTATTGATATTCTTAAACTTCTAACTCTTGAACATAGAATATGATTATGACAAGCATTTCCTTGTCATTGTCCACTGTATTAGGAATGCCATTTCTAGGTAGATTTTAATTGGTTGGTTTTAATTTCCTTCTCTTTTCTAGCATGTTTTGCAACTTATTAAATCTTGGGAATTTTGACGCTGGGTATTTTTGTGTTCCCACAAATATTCTTGAGCTTTCTTCTGAGCTGTAGTGAAGTTTGGTTGGGCAGGGTCAGGACCAATTTGAGATGAGATAAAACCCTTCTATGAGAGCAATCTGCTGTCCCGTGAGCTATGATGTTTTCTACTCTAGCTCTTAGGAGCAGAAGCCATGGCCCTTGGTGAATTCCAAGATTGGGTCCCATTTCTCTTTTTAGTCCTCCTTTCCCAAGCCTTGGGTAGTTCCTGAAGAACACTCAGCTGAAGACTTGGGGATCCTTTATTTTTCAAAAATTAGCTAGTTGGTATTTTTATCCAAGTGGGGGGGGCAGAAATCAATCTGTCATTCTCGATTGCTCTCCACCTTGTTTTAGGATGGGGGTCTCTCATTGACCCTAGAGCCCATGTACTGGGCAAGGCTGATCGGTGAATAGCTTCAGGGGCGCACCAATCTTGCACTTCTTCCAACTCTAGCCAATCCACTCCTCTCCTGGTCCTGTGTTTACAGGCACACACTGCCATTCCTGCCTTTTATGTGGGTGCTGGGGATCAGAACTCAGGTCCTCAAGCTTGCATAGTAATTATTTTCTCCACTGAACCATCTCCTCAGCCCCAAGGGCCCTCTGTGTATGCTCGTGCTCTCTCCCCTCCCTGGTTCTCTGAACTCTAGTCACTTGTCTTCTCCTTCGTCCTGCTTTGCAATTTGGGATAAGGCCTGGCCTCTTCCTCCCTGCGGGGAGACCTGGACATAACAGTTAGACTATGTTATTCTTAGAGGTAACAGTAAGCTAGGGGAAGTTGTGGAACATGCCATTTGTCTTTTTTTTTTTGGACATCAATATCCTTCATGGCTGACATTCAGTGTCTTTGAAGTCATGGTTTCATGGATTTGTCTGTCCTTGTAGTTGTTTTTGGTGAGAAGGTAAGCCAGGACCCAGTTGTTCCATTTCTTTCTGGGAGAAGTTTAAGGCACTGTAATTGACTCCAAAAATCTTGTTCCAATTTTCTGAGCAGAAAGATGAACTATATAATCAATTCCCATTATTTACAGATCATGTATTTATAAATTCATCTGCTTGCTAAAATTTGTTACAAAAAATTCAACGAATAATAAAGCTTTTACATTCATGGCCACTGGCACAGTGATGAAAATTTTGAGTTACAGATAAACAGGTGCTCAGCCAAGGTCAGACAGAGGGACATTTTGTCTTCTTACTTAAGCTCTCCTAAGTTAGCAAGTGTTCTTTCTGGAGTCTGCTTTGTGGCTTGAGTTTGCCTGCTTGTGTTTACTGCTTGTGATTTGTTCTTTAGACAGCACTTTTCCCTTCTTTTGAGCCATTGCAGTGTTCCTAAATGCAAAGATGTGATGTGCCTAGGTGCATTTTGCGCAGACACGAGTTATGGTGCTGTTGGCTATGAGTTCAACATTAATGACTTAATACATGTTAAATAAGGTTGTTTTTAATAGAAACAGGCAGGAAACAAACTTATACATTCATTCGTTGTTTAAAATGTTGTGATTGAAGGTCATAGGAACTTAAACCCTGTATTTCCCTAGGGAGCAAAAGTTCAGTATTTACTAATTCAGTGTTTGGGACAAATTTGTAAAGCTACTGGAAATGACGAGAACAGATTGCTTTTAGTTTCATTTCTACCATGAAATCATGAATTGAAAACTTAAAGAATGTTCTAGCCTACTTCTTATAGAAGATACATGTGGAAGAGTAGAAGTTAGAGTACTCAAAGTATTACCTATATCAGGCTATTTTACAGTCTACCTTCACATATATAATGCAAAGACAAATTTTACTCCTGAGTGAGGGGGGTCTGAAGTCTATTTTCATTCCACTCATTTTCTACCTCCTCTGACAGGCACACATGCTACACTCTCCACCAAGCACACGAACTTTGAGGAGAGAGTTTATGAAGTCCCAGTTCGCATCAGTGATGGGGGCCGGCCACCCTTGGAAGCCACTGTTTCCTTACCAGGTAGGTGCTTTGTAGGCAATGTAGGAAAGCATCTGTTACCGTGCGTAGTTTAAGGGAACATTGGCTTTAATATGAGATTCTGCAAGTATTCATTTGAAAACCCTCTCAAACACTGTTCTGCTTTTCAGTTACTTTCTGCACATGTGTGGAAGGAAGCTGTTTCCGGCCAGCAGGTAGACAGAATGGGATACCCACTGTGGGCATGGCGGTTGGTATACTCCTGACTACCTTTCTGGTTATTGGTGAGTATGACTTTTCAGAGTCAAAGATCTTGTCCCCAGCCCCAGAAATGTGAGCTTATCTCGTGATCTTACTTTTAAGAGTTAGACTGGGGGTTGCTGAACTTGGTCACTAACCAAGGATATAGATCACTGGTCACATCAAATCATCCTGGTTGAGAGATAATTTAAAAGTACCCTCTGCCAATAATTTCCTTTCTAGTTAGCTTGGGATTTCCATGCCAATGTTTATACCATAATACTTTGTGTCAAGCAGCTTTTCTTTGTTGTAACAAATACTCAAGATAATCAACTTACAAAAAGTTTTCTTTGGCTCACAGTGTCAGAGGCTCTAGTCCGTAACTGACTGGCCTGTTGCTTTGGGGTGCATGGGGAGGCAGCCATGTCATAGAGCAAAGCTGTTTGCCTCCCAGTCAGGCACAAATGGTAGAGTGTGATAGGGTCTCACTGTGCCCTCTGAGGGTATGCCTTTAATGACGGGAAGACCGCTCACTAGTCCTCTTAAAGTTCATACCCAATAACATCAAGTTGGGGAACCAAACCTTTATCACATGGGCTTTTGGGGGATATTCATGATTGGAACTACAGCGAGCTTCACAGCATGAACTGCTGTATTTCGAGCCTAATTACCAAGCTTTCATGAAGGAGAGAGAAATTCAGTTGCTGTGCCTTGCTGTGTGTCTGGCACTGAGCTTGTTACAGTAATAGGTGAGTCTTGCACGATCCTTTCCCCGCAGAAGTTCTGGGCTCATCTGCCCTTGTTGGAATAGGTCAGAGCTGACCCTGCAGTGAAGATGCTAAGACATATGAAATGTTGCAGAACTTCCCTTTGAATATTTTCATGACTCTCGAGCCTGGATTTTTATGACCCAGAGCGATTCCACTGCACATAGCCTTGACTCTCCACCCACATAGACAGTGGTCATCTCTTGGCATAGGCGGTCAGTGCCCAAGATCATAGCTGTGCTCTTTCGGTTGTTCTTCTCTTGGCAGCCAATTAGAAAGATGCTTCCTTAATCCATGTGTGCCTGAATGAAGGGCTTCACAATTCCACACTTTCTCCTGAAATAATTTCTTCCCCCTCCTCTATTTTATTATTTTTATTCTATGTGTATGACTGCCTTGCCTGCATGTATGGAAGTGTACCTGTGTCATGCAATACCCATGGAGGTCAGAAGAGGGCATTGGATTCCCCTGGAACTGGAGTTACAGATGGGTATTAGCTGCCATGTGGGTGCTGGGAATCAAATCTGCGTCCTCTGGAAGAGCAGCCAGTGCTCATAGCCACTGAGCCATCTCTCCAGCTCCCTTTTCTTTAAAGTATTTTTGATTATTCTCTTTATATCTGGACTTCTGTTCCCATGATCTGAGCTGGCACATTTGACTCTGACACATGAGTTTAAAAGGGATCACTTTTCCTTATAGCCTTTGTGCAAACTCCTCACCACATGGGAGGGCCTTCGTGACCTGTCAGTTACTCACCCTGGTGTGCTTGGTGACCAGCAAGCCTCCCTGAGGACTACTGTGTGCTGCATACATTTTATACCAACAGAGCTGACTCTGCTTCTCTACTCCTTACATAGATTATAAGCCAGGACCTTGCTATGTAGCCTAGGCTAGCCTTGAACTCAGGCAGCCCTCATTAGAGCTATTTGAGAGCTCATTAACTAAACTCCCCTCTGCCTGCCTTTTGTTTTTCTCATCCACCCTGAAAGGATTGAGTTCATGCACCATATCGCTTTCTTATGTACTCATTGAATCTCATTACGCCTTCTCTAAATTAAAGAATGGACAGGTTTGAGGATATCCTTGTGATTTCATACCCTCGTCTTTTCAAATGGGCGTTGGTTGGATTGTTACACGTTTGTTACCCGTCTTCTGAACATCCCGTCTTTTCTGTCTTGTTAATCCCTATAAGCTCATTGATAAGTAATTTCCTTAAAGTAACTCTCCTTTAGTGGACTCTGAGTTCACATTAGTGACTTGTAAAAATTCAGAGATAGAACCCAGAGCATAGGCAGTCCACTCAAGGTCCCTTCTTAGCATAGGCTTGCACCCTACGAAAGGTATTAAAGATGTATACCTGGCTAGTGCTCCTCCACTGAGCTGCATGCCACACCCCTACTGTGAAGTTAAAATTAATGTTTTATGTATTTACTATTTAAGTAAAAAAAAATTTAAACACAAAATGATGTATATTTAGTGGATGCAATGAAAGTAGACTGTGGAGGTGAGCAGGTCTGAAGAGCGTTCTCGTTCTCACTGACCTGTTTTCTCAGGGGGAAGAAGGACTTGAATCAATCTCTGAGTATGTTTAAAGTTCAGAACTCTTCCAGTTGCTTTTCACCCAAAGGAGTTATGGCATTGGTTCTGCTGTTCTGTGGTAGGGACTCAGCCAGCCACCAAATTAGTTATAACTTGGAACTAGATACATACTGATAGTGAGTGATGAGTTCACTTACCTAAGAAAGCCAATGTCTGGAATCCTGTGTCCACTAGAACAATGAAACTTTGTTAAATCACAAAATGAAGGTAAACAAGTCATTTTTCCCTGTCAGGACAATATACATTTGAAGATTTTGACCACATGTTTTCTTTGTTTTAGGTATAATTTTAACAGTTGTATTCATCCGCATAAGGAACAATGGAGGCAAAGATAATGTTGAAAATGCCCGAGCCTCGGAAGTTAGACCTCTGAGAAGCTGAATTTGAAAAGCAATGACTATTTGTGCATCAAACTGTTTAATTTCATAATTTTACTTTTCAGTCAAAATGTGAACTATAATTTTGACAGCTAGTCCCTCTTGTCTTTTAATATTTTACCAGTTAGATATTTCATGTGCTATAGACCTTAGAGATAGTTTCCATTTCCCTGTGACAATGCCCAACACTGCAAAAGCCTTAGTTACTTAACCCAAACTTTCCCTTTTGAGGAACGATGAGCTGATTAAATATTCTGTACTTTTTTTTGTTTGTTTGTTTTGTTTTGTTTCAAGGGATTTATCAGTTGTCTGTCACTTGACTTCCTAGATTCCATTTATGCTTTTTCTGAGCCTGTCCTGAACCCTTCTTTTTTTAAAATTTATTATTATTATTATTACACTGAATTTAGACTATGTCAGGCAAAAGAACAAAGTAAAGTCCTGGAAGAAAAAAACATAAGAGAGCAGCCTTGTTCCTTAGTATAAACAAAAACTCTTCTGTGTTATTAACCGTCTTTAACAGAGGTCTACCAGCCTGGCAATGGCACAAATGTTGGGAAGGTATGGAACATAGTTGCTGTCTTTCCAGAAAGATCTGCTTCATAAACCTGGGCGCAGGAACTGACGAGCTGCCCGGATTTCTCACTACCTACCATGCTTACATACATGCTGCGCATGTTTTATTTGTATATTAAAGTTTTGTTATGTATTTATCACATGGAAGAAAACAGGAAGCATGAAAGTGGTGATGAAAATCAAGAATAAATGTTGATTTTGGTTGTTTTTGTTTCCCTGATCTCTTTGCCTGGTTCATTTGTTGTGGGGGGCGGGGGGTGGAGGGTTTCTGGAAAAGAATGGTTCTCTATTGTCTATCAAAATTGCTTACCACGTGGTAGCTTGTTAGTCCAAGAGGAGGGGTACACAAACTTCAAAACTGCTGCTTCCCTCAGCTTTTGGGCACATCTAACCATAACCGGTCCTGCCCAGACTTCCTCCAGATGTCCACAGAATGATGACCTGGGACTCAGGGATGGCAGGGGAACTGAGGCCAGGAAAACCATTCCTCCCAAGAGATCCTTCCACCAAGAGCAGCTGGGCCACACTGCCACACTGGAACCTGTGAACCCCATGATGAAGCTGGGAAGAAAGAAGCTACAAGAGTGTCATGTTTTGTGTGTGTGTGTGTGTGTGTGTGTGTGTGTGTGTGTGTGTGGTGTGTGTGTGTGTGTGTGTCCCCGCCAGGCCAGAGCTAAACAAGCAGCAGTAATGTTCCTTTTTTCTATAAGAGGTTCTCAAAAATGACCCTCTGTGCATGTACTTGGAAAAATGGTTATTTAATATCCTTGACAATGTTTAAAAAAAGAATAGCTTTGTAATACAATTACTTCCTATTTTATTGATTTTTCCATGTTTGGATTTTCACATACCAGCATGGTGTAAGCTCCATTTAACATTTCAAAATGACTTCCTGAGAATCTGCTACGTGTCAGTCATTTGTAAGCCATTTGGGCTCTTAAAACCAGGAGGATGGGTCTTCTGAGGTGGTAGCTGGTTCCAGCTGAGAAGAGGCTGCTCTGGAATTGGTATGGTAATAACGATAGCTAAATCACAAGTCTTCCTAGAAGCTTCCATGTGTTATTTATCTCCAGCAGCCATTTTTTCTTTTTTACAGAAACTAAATGACGCCATTTTCACGAGTCCCCCAGCCTGGGAGAGCTGGCCGAGGGGACAGTGAGGCAGGAATGTCATAGGAAAATGGTGCCTGTAGCCAGGGCTCATCTGACCCAGGACAGCATTTTCATTTTTTCCGTTGCATCTGTTGGACTGCTGTGGGAGTCTAGAATCTGAAGGCTCCATTTGGAAGAGGAGGGGGGTGTGTACATGGGAGGTGGGAATAAAAATAGAGTGTGTGTTTACCCTGCATTTTTAGCTACCCTTTTGAATTAAGCATATGAGTATAAGGAAACAGTATTTTTGGTAGCAGAAACCAAAACTGGCCTCTTTGGCATCTGGCCAAGAGTGGATCCCAAAGGCAGAATTTCCCTGGGGCTCTGCTCAGACCCAGTCAGAGGCCATCAAGGCCTTGGTTCATGGGGGTCACAAAGACTCAGGGAAAGGGTCTTGGAGTAGCCAGGTTAGCTGTGGGGAGGGATAGGAAGGTCCTGGCTGAGGCTTTCCTCTCTGCAACGGGATGTCTGATGGCTTTCTGGATCCTACAGGAGGGGAGGGGGAGCTTGCATGTAAACAAGAATAACTAGTTGGTACTCACGGAGGTCCTGGCATAGTTTGTCTTGAACATTGGCCCTCAAGGTAAAGCACCTGTAATGTTTATGTTCTGTTCTTCATGGACACCCCATTCTCTCAGGCCAGCTTCTCCTTTGGGAGGACTACCCTTACTCAGACAAGAAACCTGGAAATTGTTATTTGAGTTCAGGAAGGCATCAGTGTATTCTGGGAGGTCCTCTAGGCCAATTTGGACCTTCCAGAAGCAGAGGCCATGAGAGAATCAACAAGAACACACTGAGGAAAGGCCCATGAGGGATACAGAGATCTTTAGGAGTAGGTGGAGAGAGACCATCATGGAAATTTGACAGCCCTTAAAGGAGAGAACAAAGGAAGATAGGCATGGCAGACTGTCACACAGCTCTGAGAAAGTCTGAGCTAGACAGATGCAGAGCACTGCAGAAATGGTCTATTACAGACCACTGTTGGGGAGAAAACACTCAGTTTAGGACTCGCTGTACTTCACCACTGCTGGGAGCCTGACCCTGTGATCCCAGCGCTGTGGCAGCGGAAGGCCACTACCTAGCTAGCTCCCACAGCTAGGGCTCATGACCCATACTATGACTACCTCAAGTAGCCAGCAATAGCCAAGAATTTATTGAATGCTCAGAATGTGTCAGACACTGTGATAAGGTTTTGGTGCATTACCCCATTTAATGCTCATGGAAACCAAGAAAGTTCTTTTCTTAGAGATACTTTATAGGTGAGGAACTTGTGGCTGGGGAGTTAAATGATTTCCCTAAAGCCTGAATAAGGATCTTAGGCACTGGGGCTCTAAGGTGTCAGATGTGAACCATGCCGATAGCCCACCTTTCAGAGGGGAATTAGTGGTCAGTTCTGTTCACCTAAATCAGTCTTGTCCACTGAACCCTCCATTTCCTAGGGGAAGACTGAATGAGGGCTAGACATGGCCAACACAGGCTTGAGGGTAGATCTTGGGAGTTTTAGCTCATCTGATGTCAGGCTGGCGATAAGTGATGGGCAGGGAGGTTCTGCAAGTGTCAGCCCATGGCTGGGACCTCTGAGTCACTTGTGTTGTCCAGTATTTGCTGAAAGTTCACTCTCAGCAAAGGTCTGTGCTGGTTGCCAGGAAGACTGTTGAAGGAAGTCTTGGCCGAACACCAAGTATTGGGTGAAGCGTAATTCTGGGTCCCTTTCCTGGCCTGCCTGCTCTGGCCACCTCTCCCTCCCCCTCCCTCACTCCTCCCCACTCCCTGTTGCTCACCAGTCTTCAGTCTCTCCGGCCATCTGCTACTTCCCTGAGGAGGTTATGTTCTTTCCATTTCTGTTCTCTCAATGTGCCTTTGCCTGGAACATTCTCCTACCTTCAGCCCCTGGTGAGGTTGTTTTTTTTCTGTTTTAGAACTTGGTGTAAAGAGTTTCTCTTTTGAGACAATCTTCCTGTCATTTTCCAGCATAGCACTTTGTTAATTTCTTTTCTATGACATTTCACAATGTGTAATTACATATCATTAATTTGCATCTTTGGGACAGGAGTCTGCCTGACTGTCACCTCCCAGCCACTAGCCAGCTATCTGGGAACTATGGTGCCTGTTACAGAGGAGGAACTCTATTTTGAATGAATAGGTAGCTTAGTTTGGGATCTGGTTACAGGGCTGGGGAGGTGGACATGGCTCAGTCTATAAAGTATTTGTTTCACAAGCATGAGGACTTGAGCTTAATCCCTAGAACTCAAGTAAAAAAACTGGGCATGGTGGTGTACTTATAATTCTAGCACTGGAGAGGTGAGGACAGGTGGGTTCCTGAGGCTTTCTGATCACAGAGCCTGGCTTAATTGGTGAGCTCTGACTATCGACAGACCCTGTCTCATAAATACAAGGTGAATGGTGCCTGAGGAACAATGTCTGAAGTTGTCCTCTGATCTCCACATGCATGTGCACACAGGTACTTGTGCCCCCCTGCACCTGCACACACATGAATATGTACATAATCCGATTACAGAGCCAAAATGTGTACCTGACATGGAAAATAATGGAGTTCTGTATCATTCAAAGAACTGGTGTGTCCTGAAGCTGTCAAGATGTTACACCTGCAAGATGTGGACAGAGGTAGATTCCAGAATTAGGAATGTTGAGGGAGGAAAAGTCATCTGGTGGAGAAAAAAAAAATCATGTGAGGGGACAGAAGTGGTTTTCTGTTCCCTGTAGGTTGAAGGCTCCATCATGTTTAGTATCTAGAACCACCCTGGCTTCCCTGGTCACCTGCATCCTTCCTTCCCCTTACTGGAAAAAGTGTTAAGACTCTAAAGGCCTATTGTTTGGCCCCTCCCCAGTGAAGTCCTGGGACTCTTCTGGGGGAGATTCAGTACTGAGAATGAGCTGACATGTGGCCCTTGGCACAGGGAGAATATTCTGGGAACATGATTATGGCTGTTCTCTTCAATCTTATTTTATATGAAGGATGAAGAAAGTCCCAGTGTCCATAAAGCCTCTTAGATAGTTGCAATTTGGAATTCCTTCAATGTTTTAAAGTAGAGATAGACCTCATCAATTATAGTCTAGTCTGTCAGTTAGTCCCTTAAAAAACACATACACAGATGTACTTCTAATACTTTGGATTTCTATATCACACATATTAAGGTAAGTAAAGCAAGATTTTTCATCTCTGTATGTTCTGGTTGGCATTCAATAGGCAGCCATTTGTCTTAGTTATCTGGACTGATGCCTCTATAGATAGCTGTCTCTATAGGTAGCAAGCCTTTTGCCACTGTTTGCTTATATGCTTGCCTCCCCTGCCTCATCGCATCAAACACACATTTCACTCACATTATTACTTTCCAGTGGAATCAGTGGAAGAATCTTTTGTAAGGCAACTGATTGGCAAATGCTGAATGAAGTTGAAGAATTCCAAGACATTATAGAAGTTCAGTTACTGGCACTTTTCTTGAATAGAGCAGGTGGCTTCTATTCACTTGAGTCTGAAGCGGCTATCCGTTAACCATTTGCT